ACGCTGACGACGCCGAGATGCACGGGTCTACTCAGGGGTACTGTTTCAGCCTGGGCTCTGGAGCTGTTTCGTGGAGGTCCACACGTTCCTCCTCGGTCTCGACCTCTACTTCTGAGGCCGAGATCTACGCTGATTTAGTACATTGATTCAGTCAGTGTAAGGACATGTAACTTTCCGGATACACTGATTCAGTCAGTGTAACTTTCCTGATACACTGATTTATATGCATTTTATCTTGCGGTAGCAGGCCTCGGCTCGGCATGAGCGGCAGGACAGCTCGAAGCTGTGGTGGCGCGCTACTTGACAGATATGGCAGTGGGACTGGTATGATTAGACAACTATTCCGTATGCATTAGCGGCCCGCCGACAGGGCCCAAAATTGGTTTTGGCCCACCCTGACAAATCAGGGTTCCAGCCCCCCAGTACCCTGACCCTTAGGGTAAATTTTTTCGTACCCTGCTGGAAACAGCCTAAATTTTTGTAAAAATATTGAAATACGTAGTTAGGCTGCTGCACAACCGGACATGTCTCAGCTGGTCAGGTTCTGGCTTGGTGGTGTAAAATCACGATATCAAATTCGGTCGTTGATGGTAATGTTTTGCGGCTTCGCAAGGACAATCCTCTCCTACAGAGGATTCAGTATCAGTGTAATGGGCAGCGCACCCTAGTACCATCAGGCTAACCATAATTCCAATCAGTGTAAAAAAAAAACAAACTCTTTTCGCGTAAGGGTAAAAATCTCGGAAGCCTGATTTTGAAAGGGTAACTCTGAAAAAGCGGTCGCCCCCCAGGGTAATCAGGGCATTTTACCCTGATATTTTGGGCCCTGCCCGCCGACCAGAATCTTCGATGTTGCACCTGTGGACCAACGTGACAAGTGAAACTGTGGGCCACTGGGTCTTTTTGTCTGCATGTTACCTGTGTCCGAATCCTCGGTAAAAAAGATCCGGTAACAGGGTATAGCAAAACACACCCTGATCAGGAAGTGTAATTGAAACTGGCACCAGGGTAAAATACTTCATAGCCTTTTTGCTCTAGGGTAAAAATTCTCATACCCTGTTTCTGAAAGGGTAACTGGGAAAAAGCGGCCGCTCATCAGGGCAAACAGGGTATTTTACCCTGATAATTTGGGGCCTGTTCCCCATACCTTTCTTCAGTCTCCTCTCATTGGTCCCTGATGTGGTTGTTCGAGTGGCCTCGTCCATCTCCTCTCTTCCACGATCCCTTCTGAGCTGGCCGTACATGCAAGCACAGATCTTGAACCCTCTCTTTCTTCTTCCATTCCCTCTCCGACTCCTTCCCCAACTGATCGCCATCTCGCCAACTCCACTCCAGCTCTCCCTACCCATTTCCATCTCCTCCGCATCTCCTCCGCATCTCCTCCGCATCTCCTCCGCATCTCCTCCGCATCTCCTCCCCACCTCCTCCCCATCACCTCTGCATTTCCTCCCCATCATGGATCTCTAAAGAAGCAATTGTTCGACTGCCCTCGTCCATCCCGCCGCCTCCACGATCCCTTCTGAGCCGATCGCTCGTGCGAGCACCGGTTAATACTCGTCACCTTGTAAGGCACCGACACTGTACTCCCATCTCCCATCCAGCTCTCCCTACCCATTCCCACCAATGGATACTCGTCACCTTGTAAGGCACCCACACTATACTCCCATTCCCAAACTGCCAAACATCCATCTCAATCCCTCTCCCATCCCCTAAACCATCTCTTCCCCATCTCTCCATCTCCTTATCCCCCCATCTCCTCCCTATCATGGGTCTCTGAAAAAGTAGTTGTTTGACTGCCCTCGTCCATCCCCCCACCTCCACGATCCCTTCTGAGCCGGCAGAACATGCGAGCACCGGTTAATACTCGTCACCTTATAAGGCACCGACACTTTACTCCCGTTCCCAAACAGCCAGCAGAGAAACACCCACCTGAATCCCTCTCCTATCCCCTATCCCATCCCCCATCTCCTCCCCATCTATCCATCTCCTGATAAGCTTTTTCCCCCTCTCCTCGCCATCATGGATCAGTGAAGAAATAATTGTTCGACTGCCCTCGTGCATCTCCCCGCCTCCACGATCCTTTCTGAGCTGGTCGCACGTGAGAGCACCGATGGATACTCGTCACCTTATAAGGCACCGACACGATACTCCCGTTCCCAAACAGCCCCGCGAAATACGAAAACGTACTCAAATAGCTATCGAGTTCCACTATAACGTGACTTTTTCCCAACAGGTAAAACTCAGCCATGGTCGGAAGCCGCCCCGTGTGCTTATCCGTGGAAACCCCTACATGTGCCACTTCTGCTCCGTTATAATATACAACACCGTACGGTGCCAATCTGGTTACCATCTCCGGCCGTAACGCCTCGTTATCGGTCGCAAGAAAGATAGACAGCGCCCGCCCCTGCCCTCCATTCTGGTTATCAGCAACACCGGCTCCTCCGGCCCTCTTGCTGCTACCCACTCTTGCTTGCTCCCCTAGTTCTGTCAGCAACCTCCCCACACACTTCCATGTGAGGGGGTTGAGATATAGCTCCCTGTGCTTCTGCCTCTCCTGCTCTACTTGCCTCCTCTCACACTCCTCCTTGCTCTCCCCCTCCGCTCTCCCCGCCCCCTCACACTCAGCAAACAGCCGATCCGGTCGCTCCAGTACGGCAGTTCTTGTCCGTATGTGCAGCCCCACGTCGAACTCCATTTCCAGCGGCGAATCAGCAGCCGCCACGTCAGCAGGCGACAGAGGTAACTTCAACCTATCAGGATCCGGCTCGTGCCTGCGTAAGATATTTTGGATCGTCTGACTCAGCGCCAGCGTGGGCCCGCCTGCCAGCAAGGCATGGAGGGCTGCTGACCTGTACCCCCCACCTGCTGCTGGGCGGCAAGAGACCTTTTCCTGGAAATCCGGAGAGGAGGATCCGAGACTTAAAGCCCTGCACGCGCATTGGGATAATCTCCTGTCGTTTAGCCACCAGTGGTCCCAAAACGCGTAGCTGAACGCGAAGACGATCTTGTCCGTCCATTGCAGCGCGGCTCGGGCTGTGGGGTGGGTTACCGTCGCGAAAGTAACGTTGCTCTCGAATTCGTACAGCATCGCGTCTGGATCCGTCGCAGCGTCGTCCGCGTCCCACTCGTACGCCTGCCAGCCCGGCTGCCCCTTGCTACGCCGACCCCTTCGCCGATGCAACACTAACCGCCTCCGAGCCTGGCTTTCGGGTTCGGTCACAAGTTCGGATCCATCTGCGTCGATGTCTTCTTCCCGCCTGCTTAACTCGATCCTCCGTTTTCCGCGATTCGCGGCGAATCTCGACAGTCTTCTCCTGTTGCTCCCCGATTCTATCCTAGAATCTAACAGCTTCTTGGGGTATATGTGGTCGAAGTCGCATTTAAACGCCTCGCATGTGCTGGCGAGCACGCCGTGAAATTTACCCGCGTGGAGAATGACTATCCTGCGACCAGAGATTAAAGCCCACATGTAAGCTGACACCCAGTTCCGCAGCGTGTTTCCCAGGCCGAACCGCGGAGCTACTACGAGCACGCGTTGCCCGTCTTCGAGCCGCTTTAGATCGTCCACCGTCGTGATTGGCCCGAAGGATTCCCGCGCCGCGAGAACCGCCGGATCGAACCCCGGCGCGATCTCCGCGCATTCGGCGGCGAGATCGGCGGGATGGATTCGCTGGGGACGGAGAAACGGGGTTTGCCACGCGGAGGAGCTGACGTCAGCTTCGGAGCCTGGCACGTCGCGGTACCGAACGAGAGGATCAGGCTCAGTGTCGGTTGGGGAGTCGCCATCGTTTTGAGGATCGGATCCCAACTTGTCAAATTCTGTCAAGATTCGCCGCACTTGCCGGGATTCCTGGGATTCGTTTGGTCTAGACTCGACGAATCTGGATTCACCTCCCTCGGATTGAGTGACTGCAGCGGGATCGACGGCTTTTGTACAGAATGTGACACTGAGGAGGGTGGCCAAGGTCAGGAACAGGAGAACGGTACACGAGAGAGGGGGTAATCGTGAAGAAGGGTGAAGCGCAAATCGACGATCGTGCGACATGAGCGCGAAAGTGGCTAGCTAGATCAGTTCAAACCAAGACGTAATAATCAATTTCCAAACATGACGGAGCGTGAGCGGTCTGTGCTAACTCCTAGAAGCATGTTTAAGAGCACGCGGCCGTAGCTCGAAATAGCCTACTCGTATGTGATGCCATGTGGGACATCTGTGCTGGCTCGTACCGCTTTATGTAATATGAGGCTGCAGCATAGTTCAGCAGACTAGCACACCAAAAACGAAACGACTACTTGTGAAGGGCTATTTTTTTCACGGGTTGCCTTCTCGCCAAGCGTGCAGCTTAATACGGTAACCTGATGTCGTTGAGATTCGCTTAATGTGTACTCGATGTTTTCGCTGATCGCTCAACCAGGTTTGGCATTTCGGTTTGGCCGGAACAGAAGGGAATTGCACAGTGACTTGTCAAAGCGGTGAAACCTGAAAACGTTAGCGACCGTGCTTCAACGTAATGCACCGAGAGAGAAGGAACCGAACGAACAAGCAGGCGTCCCTTCACTAGTAACCATGTTTTGCGACAAACGGATACCGTTTTCGCCATACAGTACCTCCACCTCAATCCCGGTTTCCCTGTTCCCAGGTGGTCACAGCGTTGGGTTTTCGCGCGTCACAACCAGGTCTAGCGATATTCGCACGGTTACTCGCCTCTTTCGCTCCGACTCGCCTCCCTTCGTGAACCTTATCGAGAAGCTCGGTTGTGCAGCAGTCGCACTAGTTTTTCGCATTCCTGGCTTGGCTGGTTTGTTTTCACCTGTCTCTCCTTGTATCGAGGATGTTTTTAGAAGCTAACATACCTATTGTAGGCTCCGCGTCGCTAACAGATCAGCGCGATTGGGCGGGAACGGCTGTCGCGCTGGGATACCATGGCGTCGCGTTCAACGTATTTAAGGGACCCAATGAGAAGGTCGAGCCGCGCGAGCGGTGCGGCGTTAAGGCGGTTCCGATGGACACTCTGCAGGCGACTCGAGAGAGAGTGCGACTCGCGCTGAAAGGAGCACAGGTACGCCGGGGGGCGGGGAAAGGGGAAAAGGGGGGGGGGAGAAGGGGGGAGGAAAGGGCGAGTGGGAGGGGGTGGGCAAGGAAGAAGGGTAGTCTGTTTTCCAGTCGCCTCAGGAACCGACTCGAGAGAGAGTGCGCCTCACATTGAAAGAATCAAAGGTACGCTGCGGAAGGGACGGTGGGGGGGGGGAGGAAGGGGTAAGGGTGGGGAGCGCGGGGGAAGGAGCACAGGTACGCGGGAGGGCGCGTGGGGGTTAGGGGATCAGGAGGGGGAGTGGAAGGGGGAGGGGGCCGCGGACGGGGGGATGGGGGAAGGGGAGGGGGACGGGGTGGCAGCAGCATCAATTTACAAGGTTTGGGCCGATTCTATTACTCTGACCCATCTTTTCCCATATCCCCTTCACCTATGTGGAGAAAGACGCTGGGGCAGCCCTGCGTCCTGCGTCCGGACGCAGCGTCCGGACGCAAAGACGCAGGACGCGCGTCCGGACGCAGGACGCACCCTGGAAAATTTTTCGGGCAGACCGAGATTTTTTTTTTTCGCGATCGCGAAATTGACATTCGCGATTTCGTCGCGAATGTCAATTTCGCCAAAATTCGACACCCCCCAAGCAAATTCGACCCCCAAAACCAGCCATCTAATTCACCTTGCTATGAAAGTGTGTTCGCGAATGTCAATTTCGCCAAAATTCGACACCCCCCAAGCAAATTCGACCCCCAAAACCAGCCATCTAATTCACCTTGCTATGAAAGTGTGTTCCCCCCCCCCCCCCCCCTCCCCCCCCTCTTACCCCCTCTTCCCTCTGCCCTATAACTTTTTTTTTGGCTGCCTGGGGGGTTTTTTTTGGCTGCCCGGACCTGCGTCTTTTGCTGCGTCTCGGGGGCCCTAAACTAGCGTCCAGCGTCTGGACGCATGCGTCTGGACGCATGCGTCCAGGACGCTGGACGCGTCTTTCTCCACATAGCCCTTCACCCCCTCCCACCCCCATCCCCCCCCTTTCCCCCCCCCTCCTCCCCCCCCCATCTCTACTCGTCAAACCAAGCCCCACCACACCCCAGCGTTTCCCCCAACTGGTGTGTGACCCTGGCAGTGTGTGACCCTGGTGGTGTGTGACCCTGGTGGTGTGTGACCCTGGCGGTGTGTGACCCTGGTGGTGTGTGACCCTGGTGGTGTGTGACCCTGGTGGTGTGTGACCCTGGTGGGGTGTGACCCTGGTGGGGTGTGACCCTGGCGGTGTGTGACCCTGGTGGTGTGTGACCCTGGTGGTGTGTGACCCTGGTGGGGTGTGACCCTGGTGGGGTGTGACCCTGGTGGGGTGTGACCCTGGTGGGGTGTGACCCTGGTGACAGCAGCACTGGGGGAGGGCGGACCTGATGCGATGGCTGACCAGCGTTTCCCCCCACTCCGCTTCTCGCCCTCTCATTCCCCTCCTCCATACTCCCCCCAACCAAGCATCATTCAGCGTAAGTCCCTTCACTCTCCCATCTCCAGGGCATACCAGCAGCTGTGGACAAGGGTGGGGTGGGCGGTCCTGATGTTATCATTAGCCCATCTTCCCCCCTGCTCCCCTCTCTGTCTCTTCCCATCGTGCCGAAACAAGCCCTTTCTAAACGAAGTCCCTTCCTTCACCCAGCTCGTGTGCATAACAGCAGGTGAAGGAGGTTGGCCCTCATGCCCATTGACCCATATCTTTTGGATAAGAGCCCCTTCATTCGCCCAGCTCGTGCGTCATAACAGCAGCGTGGGAGGAAGGTGGCCCTGACACCATCACTCACCCATCCCTTCCCCCTGTTCCCCTTCCGCTCCGCCCCCTCTCCTCTCTCACCCCTGCTTCCCAAACCAAGCCCCTTCTAGATGAGAGTCCTTCATTCGCCCAGCTCGTGCGTGTGACAGCAGCGCGGGAGGAAGGTGGCACTGACGCCAGTACCGGTTGACTTATTGTCCTGTGCCTTCCGCTCTCCCCTTCCCCCCCTCTTTCCCTCCTTTGTGTTCCCCGAACCAAGCCCCTTCTAGACGAGAGCCCTTCATTCACGCAACTCGTGCGCATAACAGCAGCGGTGGAGGAAGGCGGGCCTGAGGTGATAGCAGAGCGCCTGCCCACGGTGGTGGGGATTGGATACGACTTGGCGGCTGTACAACCGTTAAACAGTGACAGCTTCCTCTCAGCCTGCTTTAACAGCAAGGTGTGTGTGTGAGTTTCGTGTGCATGAGCAGCTGGGTGTGGGTGTGAAGCCAACTAGCAGAGAGAGCGACTGCCGACAGTGGTGGGGATTGAATACGACCTGGCGGCCATGCAGCCAATGTATGGGGGCAGCTTCCTGTCCGCCTGCTTCAACAGCAAGGCGTGCATGTGTGAGTGAGTGAGTGAGTGAGTGCGTGAGTGAGTGCGTGTGTTTTTGTGTGTGTGTGTGTGTGTGTGTGTGTGTCTGTGTGTGTGGATCTGTTCTGAGGTGCCTCAAAACCTGGATTGGCTCCAAACTTACCCGCCACAGTGGTGGGGAGGGGATCAGATACGACCTGGCGGCAGTACAGCCAATGACTTTTGAGGCGCCTCAAAAGTTGATCTGGCGGCTGTACAGCCACTGAGCGGGGGGAGTTTCCTTTCCTCTCCGCAAGGAGACGTCATATCTCCCCCATTCCCAACTGCCAGCTTTGATGACGTGACGGTCGTGACCCCCTCCGTTCCATGCTGACCGCTCTTTTCTGCCATCCAGGTTTTAGATTTTCTGCTAACCTCCCTCAAAAACTGATTCTTTTCTCCCTCTGCCATCGCACTCCCTTTCCTCTCCCCTGCCTATCCTCTTTCATCTCCCCTCACTATCCTCTTTCATCTCCCCTCACTATCCTCTTTCATCTCCCCTCACTTTCCTCTTTCATCTCCCCTCACTATCCTCTTTCATCTCCCCTCACTATCCTCTTTCATCTCCCCTCACTATCCTTTTTCATCTCCCCTCACTATCCTCTTTCATCTCCCCTCACTATCCTCTTTCATCTCCCCTCACTATCCTCTTCCATCTCCCCTCACTATCCTCTTTCATCTCCCCTCACTATCCTCCTTCATCTCCCCTCACTATCCTCTTCCATCTCCCCTCACTATCCTCTTTCATCTCCCCTCACTATCCTCTTTCATCTTCCCTCACTATCCTCTTTCATCTCCCCTCACTATCCTCTTCCATCTCACCTTACTATCCTCTTTCATCTCCCCTCACTATCCTCTTTCATCTCCCCTCACTATCCTCTTCCATCTCCCCTCACTATCCTCTTTCATCTCCCCTCACTATCCTCTTTCATCTCCCCTCACTATCCTCTTTCATCTCCCCTCACTATCCTCTTCCATCTCCCCTCACTATCCTCTTTCATCTCCCCTCACTATCCTCTTCCATCTCCCCTCACTATCCTCTTTCATCTCCCCTCACTATCCTCCTTCATCTCTACTCACTATCCTCTTCCATCTCCCCTCACTATCCTCTTTCATCTCCCCTCACTATCCTCTTTCATCTCCCCTCACTATCCTCTTTCATCTCCCCTCACTATCCTCCTTCATCTCCCCTCACTATCCTCTTCCATCTCCCCTCACTATCCTCTTTCATCTCCCCTCACTACCCTCTTCCATCTCCCCTCACTATCCTCTTTCATCTTCCCTCACTATCCTCTTTCCATCTCCCCTCACTATCACTCTTTCATCTCCCCTCACTATCCTCTTTCATCTCCCCTCACTATCCTCTTTCTGTCCCTCACTATGCCTCTTCATCTCCCCTCACTATCCTCTTTCATCTCCCCTCACTATCCTCTTTCATCTCCCTCACTATCCTTTTTCATCTCCCTACACTATCCTCTTTCATCTCCCTCACTATCCTCTTTCATCTCCCCTCACTATCCTCTTTCATCTCCCTCACTATCCTCTTTCATCTCCCCTCACTATCCTCTTTCATCTCCCCTCACTATCCTCTTTCATCTCCCCTCACTATCCTCTTTTCATGTCTCCTCACTATCCTTTTTCATCTCCCCTCACTATCCTCTTTCATCTCCCCTCACTATCCTCTTTCAATCTCCCTCACTATCCTCTTTCATCTCCCCTCACTATCCTCCTTCATCTCCCCTCACTATCCTCTTCCATCTCCCCTCACTATCCTCCTTCATCTCCCCTCACTATCCTACTTTCATCTCCCCTCACTATCCTCTTTCATCTCCCCTCACTATCCTCTTTCATCTCCCTCACTATCCTCTTTCATCTCCCCTCACTATCCTCCTTCATCTCCCCTCACTATCCTCCTTCATCTCCCCTCACTATCCTCTTCCATCTCCCCTCACTATCCTCTTTCATCTCCCCTCACTATCCTCTTTCATCTCCCCTCACTATCCTCCTTCATCTCCCCTCAACTATCCTCTTCCATCTCCCCTCACTATCCTCTTTCATCTCCCCTCACTATCCTCTTCCATCTCACCCTCACTATCCTCTTTCATCTCCCCTCACTATCCTCTTTCATCTCCCCTCACTATCCTCTTTCATCTCCCCTCACTATCCTCTTTCATCTCCCCTCACTATCCTCCTTCATCTCCCTCACTATCCTCTCCATCTCCTCCTCACTATCCTCTTCATCTCCCTCACTATCCTCTTCCATCTCCCCTCACTATCCTCTTTCATCTCCCCTCACTATCCTCTTTCATCTCCCCTCACTATCCTCTTTCATCTCCCCTCACTATCCTCTTTCATCTCCCCTCACTATCCTCTTTCATCTCCCCTCACTATCCTCTTTCATCATCCCCTCACTATCCTCTTTCATCTCCCTCACTATCCTTTTCATCTCCCCTCACTATCCTCTTTCATCTCCCCTCACTATCCTCTTTCATCTCCCCTCACTATCCTCTTCGATCTCCCCTCACTATCCTCTTTCATCTCCCCTCACTATCCTCCTTCATCTCCGCTCACTATCCTCTTCCATCTCCCCTCACTATCCTCTTTCATCTCCCCTCACTATCCTCTTTCATCTCCCCTCACTATCCTCTTTCATCTCCCCTCACTATCCTCTTTCATCTCCCCATCACTATCCTCCTTCATCTCCCCTCACTATCCTCTTCCATCTCCCCTCACTATCCTCTTTCATCTCCCCTCACTATCCTCTTCCATCTCCCCTCACTATCCTCTTTCATCTCCCCTCACTATCCTCTTTCATCTCCCCTCACTATCCTCTTTCATCTCCCCTCACTATCCTCTTTCATCTCCCCTCACTATCCATCTTTCATCTCCCCTCACTATCCTTTTTCATCTCCCTCACTATCCTCTTTCATCTCCCTCACTATCCTCTTTCATCTCCCCTCACTATCCTCTTCAGATCTCCCTCACTATCCTCTTTCATCTCCCTCACTATCCTCCTTCATCTCCGCTCACTATCCTCTTTCATCTCCCCTCACTATCCTCTTCCATCTCCCTCACTATCCTCTTTCATCTCCCCTCACTATCCTCCTTCATCTCCCCTCACTATCCTCTTCCATCTCCCCTCACTATCCTCCTTCATCTCCCCTCACTATCCTCTTTCATCTCCCCTCACTATCCTCTTTCATCTCCCCTCACTATCCTTTTCCATCTCCCCTCACTATCCTCTTTCATCTCCCCTCACTATCCTCCTTCATCTCCCCTCACTATCCTCTTCCATCTTCCCTCACTATCCTCCTTCATCTCCCATCTTCACTCCCTCACTATCCTCTTTCATCTCCCCTCACTATCTCTTCCATCTCCCTCACTATCCTCTTCATCTCCCCTCACTATCCTCTTCCATCTCCCCTCACTATCCTCTTTCATCTCCCCTCACTATCCTCTTTCATCTCCCCTCACTATCCTCTTTCATCTCCCCTCACTATCCTCTTTCATCTCCCCTCACTATCCTCTTTCATCTCCCCTCACTATCCTCTTTCATCTCCCCTCACTATCCTCTTTCATCTCCCCTCACTATCCTCTTTCATCTCCCCTCACTATCCTCTTTCATCTCCCCTCACTATCCTCTTCCATCTCCCCTCACTATCCTCTTCCATCTCCCCTCACTATCCTCTTTCATCTCCCCTCACTATCCTCCTTCATCTCCCCTCACTATCCTCTTCCATCTCCCCTCACTATCCTCCTTCATCTCCCCTCACTATCCTCTTCCATCTCCCCTCACTATCCTCCTTCATCTCCCCTCACTATCCTTCCATCTCCCTCACTATCCTCTTCATCTCCCTTCACTATCCTCTTCCATCTCCCCTCACTATCCTCTTTCATCTCCCCTCACTATCCTCTTTCATCTCCCCTCACTATCCTCTTTCATCTCCCCTCACTATCCTCTTCCATCTCCCCTCCTATCTTCTTTCATCTCCCCTCACTAGCCTCCTTCATCTCCCGCTCACTATCCTCTTCCATCTCCCCTCACTATCCTCCTTCATCTCCCCTCACTATCCTCTTTCATCTCCTCTCACTATCCTCTTCCATCTCCCCTCACTATCCTCTTTCATCTCCCCTCACTATCCTCTTCGATCTCCCCTCACTATCCTCTTTTCATCTCCCCTCACTATCCTCCTTCATCTCCCCTCACTATCCTCTTCATCTCCCCTCACTATCCTCCTTCATCTCCCCTCACTATCCTCTTTCATCTCCCCTCACTATCCTCTTTCATCTCCCCTCACTATCCTCTTTCATCTCCCCTCACTATCCTCTTTCATCTCCCCTCACTATCCTCCTTCATCTCCCCTCACTATCCTCTTTCATCTCCCCTCACTATCCTCTTTCATCTCCCCTCACTATCCTCTTCCATCTCCCCTCACTATCCTCTTTCATCTCCCCTCACTATCCTCTTTCATCTCCCCTCACTATCCTCTTTCATCTCCCCTCACTATCCTCTTTCATCTCCCCTCACTATCCTCCTTCATCTCCCCTCACTATCCTCTTTCATCTCCCCTCACTATCCTCTTTCATCTCCCCTCACTATCCTCTTTCATCTCCCCTCACTATCCTCTTTCATCTCCCCTCACTATCCTCTTTCATCTCCCCTCACTATCCTCTTTCATCTCCCCTCACTATCCTCTTCCATCTCCCCTCACTATCCTC